ATATATATATATATATATATATATATATATATATAGACTTGAGATCATGTGAGACCAATGGTTTTTCGTGAGACCCGTAAGACCAATTCTCAATTCTTGGATTAGATTTATAGTCGTCAGATCCGAACATTCATAAACGCCACGAGACTTCTCAATAATTACAAAATTGCCACCTTGTAACTTTTAACCATTAGATCGTTAGTTTATAAAGTTGATCAATGAACATGAATTGGTCTTATGGGTCTCACGAAAAACCCTTTGTCTCACGTGAACCCAACCCTATATATATATATATATATATATACACACACACATAAAAAGACACGAAGCTTACCAAAGATCAAAGGGAAAGAAGGCAATTCGAGAGGCTTATCGGGTGCACCCACAAGGACCAATGTTCCATTCACTTTGAGTAGCTCCAATATTGGGCCAAGCGAGTGTGGTGCAGCCACCGTGTCCAATATGAAGTCCAATGTCCTCGTATTTGACTAAAACACAAAAAGTCAACTTAGCTTTTACCAAATTATATTTTAATTTTTATAATACCGAAAAAATTAAATCAAACCAAACAAGTTTAGTATATCACATGAACTCTAACCATAAAAAATAAAACGATTGTTTGAGATAGATCTCCCAACCTGCATTTGTTTAGGGTCGGTGCTGATGATGAAATCATCGGCACCTAAAAGCTTTCGAGCCTCGACCTCTTTTGAAGGGGAGGTGCTTATCACTGTAACACGGTGACCGAAAGCCTTTGCGAATTTGATGGCAACGTGACCAAGCCCTCCCAACCCAACAATCCCAACTCGCCTTTCGATCATCCGGTGCAAATTGTTGTCGATCATTGGTGAGTACACTGTGATCCCTGCACATAGCAATGGTGCCGTCGCGTCCATCGGCAAGTTTTCCGGTATATGCAATACGTACCTTCACCGCAAATGGTATTTTTTTATGTACATATACTTTGAAGGTAAGTTAACATTGAAAATGTCCACTTTTTTATTTCTCTAAAAGTTGTTTGTTCTGATGAGAAAGAACGTTAAGGTGAGAAACGTAAGAAAAGATCTCTACTCTTGAATGTATATTAAGATGAGATGCACCAGATTAAACCCCATATCAAACGTGCTTCGTGGGTGGGTTTGAGATTAAAGATGATCAAGGGTCCTGATCTTTTATTACACTTTTCAGCGTAACTCTTCTTCTCACACGATCTTTCATCTGAGTTTACAGACTAACTTATTTTGGTAAGACCATAAACTAATATTTAAACTTCACAAATAAAACATTGTGAAAGTACACAAAATACCGAGCCTTCACAGTGTTTTATTATGAGGTTTAGTGTTAATTAGCTGGTCATGCGTGTCTTACAAAAACAACATGATCTCACATGATCCCAAATATACGCACACGATTACGTTTTCATATAACATTTTTTTGACATTTTTCTAATCACGGTACCGAATTAAAATCAAGGTTCTAAATGACGTGAGACATGGTATGGCGGCAAGGTCAAATTTCAAGTCTTACGAGTTACGGCGTTTTTTAATGTGTTCCCTAAGACGACATACACACACACACACACACTAGAGTTGGGTTCACGTGAGAACAGACTGTTTTCGTGAGATCACTTTCTTACATTTGAGACTTCACAGCAAAATGCCGTGAAGACAAAAAAAAAACCGAACATTCACAGCAAAAACACTATGAAGGTTATTTGCGTAGCATTTTTCTGTATTTCAAGTGTAAAAAAATGATCTTACGAATTTTACAAAAACAAACTGGTCTCACCTAATCTCAAATCTCAATTTCTATGCCTATTATTTATCCTCATGTTATACATTAAATTGCATTAAATCGCCGTATGCTTCGAATTTAGTGTGTGGTTTTTTTAAATTAAATGCTGATGCAGACCGGTCCATTAAGTAAGTGGTTGATATTTACGACTTTTAAATTTACTCACGGCATCAAGTGGTTGAAATTTGTGTTTATTTTCATTATTGTATTGAACCGCCGGTCCACCACTTTCATTACCATCATCATTATTATCTTGTGATAATTTTGACTTATTTATTGAAAAAATAATATACTTATTTATAGAAAAAATAATATACATAATAATAAAATAATATGTAAATTTACTGGTTAAGAAATAGACTGTATAACAGTATAAGTTTGTAATTTACCGGTGATCAGCGACCAACATCTCGGAATAACCACCGTAGGTGATACTGCCATCCCAAAAGATGCCGTTATAGGTGAACTGAATTTTGTCACAGTAGTTCTCTTCCGAGTTTCTGCAGAATTCACATTTCAAGCATGATGCAGCCAGACACCCGACCCCAACTTTATCGCCTATCTTGAAACCTTTGACGTTGATCCCGACTTCAGTTATCACTCCCGTTATTTCATGCCTGCAACATATTTCGCGAGTTTGTTGTTAAGCCGGAAACCGATCTTGAGTGAGAGAAATTCCGTTCATAAAAGTAAATGATTACCAATTTAAAATATATATTATTACAACATTATATAAGTATGTTAAAATGAATTCAGTTCCAATCCCATGTTTGGTTTGAAGTTTTCCAAATCTGGAATTTTGGGATTTTATTAAATCCTACAAACATATGATTTTGAATAATGTTTTAAATATGTTAAAGACATTTGTTTTGTAAAAATCGAATAATGAAAAAGGTGATATTATTTTTTATAATTTATTTTTATAAATTATTTATAAAATATCAAATTTAAATTTGTTTCAAATCCTATAAACCAAACACACAAAATATTCCAAATCATTTCAACCCAATAATTCCAAACCATTTTGTGTTAGGGGCCGTTTACCAAACGCTTACCCGAGTAAGCGTTTACCAAGTAACATTACCTCACCGGATGAATATAGTAAGGACCAAGAATCTTACCCGGTAAGAGCGAGACAAAAATCAAAAGTCTTACCCGATAAGTGAGGGCGACGACTCTTACCACGGTAAGCGCTTACTAGGTAAATTATTGTATACTATGTCGTTTTTGTGGACTAAAATTTTACCCGATAAGTACATAATAGTGTTAAATTTTACCGGGTAAGTGTTTAATAAACGACCCCTTATTTTTTCTTCAACTCGAATAATGTTTTTAGATGGTTTTTGATAAATGAAATCCACAAAAACCCCATTTTGCTATTTTAAAAATTCTACACAGATATTTTAATCAGGTAAGAGTCATTATCTTCACTTATCAGATAAGATTATTAGTCAATAAAATGGTCCAGTAAAATTGTTGATAAATATTATTATAAATATAACGATAATTTATATCACGTTATAAAACACTTGACAAGAACTTTTAAAACCCGTTTTTTACGCATGAAGTATTGTTTATTGATGCATATTACTTAAAATTCAATATTACAAGTACATGTGTGTAAGTACAACTTATAAAAGCTTCTTGTTTGAATTCATGTAATTAACTACAATTAAACATAATCAAATAAAAGATAAACATCTCATTTTAAATATAAAAAATCTAAAATATAATTAGGATAATTATTGAGTTCTAACATAATACACAATTACTATATTTATAAAAAAAATTATATTATTAAACCTAAATTAAATTATAATAAAAATTATAAATTAAAGAAATTACACAAAACAATAACTTTTAAATAGCTAATTTAATACTAATACTCATATAAATTTTTTCAAAATTTTATGATATTTTAAAATTTATGTTTCATTCAAATAAAACCATTGTCGTTTTCTCCAAACCACATAAAATCATATTATATCAACATAGATAAATAATAAAATAAAACATTAAAATCGAAATATATTTTGATGCATTAGACGATAAAATTCTCGTGTTAATTAAACTTTCAATTCAAGATTTGTCTCTATCAAGTTAGGTATATTTATCACGGTTTTCAAAAAAAATAAAGAAACTAAATTAGTTGAACGTTTCATAATATAATAATTAATTATTATTTTCGAATAAAACAAAAAATCGAATATAAAAAGTTCGACAAAACCGTTGTCCTTACGCGTAATTACACCACACATAATTTAACTTAAATAATTTAATCCCAAGCAATTTAATGTCTAATAGAGTTGTAAAATTTTTAAACAGTATGTATTGGGTTGATATTTAGATACTATTATTTGAACATAACCCAACTCGATGAACTCAATATTCTTCATATACACGTATTTCCAATATTTTCGCATCTCTATATAACTGATTCGTATATATGTTTAATAACTGTGAACACACACACATATATGTAAATTGAGAAAATTAACTGAATGTAATATACATAAAAAAAATATGGATAAGTTGTATCACATGTTTTTTATTTTAACAATATCAAATCTTTTACATGTATTTTTCGTTTTATTTATTGAACAAGAAATCACATAACATAAATTTATGTGAAAACGGGTACTTTAAATGATAACATTTAATTATAAAAAATTCATATAAAAATATTTTATTACCGGGTTTGTAATTTTTTTTTTGTAGTTCTCATTTGATTACCGTTCTACACACACGTATATAAGGGTTCGAACAAGAACAGTACCATCTTACGAGAACACGATAACATTTGAAATACACAACCATCAAAGGTTGATAAATTGTTGAAATATGTGATTGTTGTTTATTTCAAATATTCTCGTCTTCTCATAAAACCGTACATTTTCATCTGAACACACACACACACATACATATATATATATATATATATAGTTGGGTTCACGTGAGACATGACTTCTTTCGTGAGACACGATTTTTACACTTGAAACTTCACAACAAAATATTGTAAACGAAAAAGAAGCCGAATCTTCACAGCAAAAACACTGTGAATACATTTATAGTGTTTTGCTGTGAAGTTTCAAATGTAAAAATTGTGTTTCACGAAGGAAAAAAAACTTATCTTATACGATCTCAAGTCTATACATATACATATATGTGTGTGTGTATATATATATATATATATATATAGTTTTCTTGAAGCCTTGGTTTTCCATCTTTCCAAAATGTTCAACCAAAGATTTCAAGATCGAATCAGCAAACGAGAAAAAGAGATTTACCCAGGAACAACAGGGTACATGGTGTTACCCCAGTCGTTTTTGATGTGATGAATATCGGTGTGACAGATCCCGCAATACAAGATTTTGATCGTAACATCGTTGTCTCCGTTCACTCTACAAGAAATACGTAGATTGAAGCCGACTTAATTACTTGAATTTAAAAAACCATAAATTGAAAAGAAAGTTGAAATCATACCTTCTTTTGAAGACGTAAGGAGTGATTACGCCGGTGGCATCATGAGCCGCCCACCCGGAGACCGTGAGCTTGTGATTGGGGGTGGTTTGAGCCATTTCTTACAACTACACCTCACCACCAAATGACTCTTTGAAATACACACACAAACAAAGACCCATATATATATATATATATATATACACACACACATATACATATATATATATATATGTATATGTGTATATATATATATATAAGATTTGATATTTTGATTAAAAAAAATATTTAAATAAAATTGAAAAATATGTTTGCAAATAGTAAAATTTTAAAAGTGTTTTCTTGTTCCTTTTTGGTTCCAAAATTACCATTTTTGTTGATTAGTTTTAATAAAATTGAATAAAAAATGGAATTAAAATAAATAATTACCAAATATTAATGCCACGTGGGTTATTTAAAAATTACTATTCATGTTCTTGTAAATTTGAAATTGTAGTTCACGCCCCTGTCGTTAATAACTTGTTGCTTTTTTTGGTTTTACGGTTTATTGTTTTTTTGGGGATAAATTATATGAAGAAGTGACGTATTTTAACTTATAGGAAATGTACTTTCAAAAATTTTATTTTGACATCTAAGATGTACAGTTTATTTTAGATATTTAAGTGTCTGGGTAACCGGTTGAAGACTAATTTTAGATTTAAAAAAATGTCACTAAGCACGTCAGCAAATAATACTGAGTTGGATATCACATCACTCGCTACATCAGCATGATAACCGGTTAATGTTTCAACCAGTTACTCAGGTACTTAAATGTTCAAAACTTTACATCTTACGTACCAAAATGAAAGTTCTAAAAATACATTACCTAAAATAGAAATCAAGTTAAAGTACGTAACTTTTTCATGTAATGTGTTTTTTTTTTCAATAAGTCAAACATAATGAAAAAGAAGCTCAAAAAAATGTTTATCTATACTATATTATAAAGTATTTGACAACAACTCTTAAAAACCATTTTTTAATACATGAAGTGCTGTTTATTGATACATATTACTTAAAATTCAATATTACTATTAATTTCATGTAAGTACAACTTATTAAAGCTTTATTTTTAAATTCATGTGACTATAATTAAGATAATCATTAAGTTCTAACATAATATTTAATTATTATATTTAAAAAAATTATATTATTAAATATAAATTAAATCACTTCATTACATTAAATTAA